TCATCATTCAATGTATTCACGGTGCGTGTGGCGGGTCCATCGTTGTAGTGAGAGGAGCTTCAACAGTGACTGGGACTTGTGACCCAGGTGTAGGTTTAATATATATAGAGAGACGAAACCTCTCATCATTCCATGTATTCACGGTGCGTGTGTCGGGTCCATCGTTGTAGTGAGAGGAGCTTCAACAGTGACTGGGACTTGTGACCCAGGTGTAGGTTTAATATATATAGAGAGACGAAACCTCTCATCATTCCATGTATTCACGGTGCGTGTGTCGGGTCCATCGTTGTAGTGAGAGGAGCTTCAACAGTGACTGGGACTTGTGACCCAGGTGTAGGTTTAATATATATAGAGAGACGAAACCTCTCATCATTCCATGTATTCACGGTGCGTGTGTGTCGGGTCCATCGTTGTAGTGAGAGGAGCTTCAACAGTGACTGGGACTTGTGACCCAGGTGTAGGTTTAATATATATAGAGAGACGAAACCTCTCATCATTCCATGTATTCACGGTGCGTGTGTCGGGTCCATCGTTGTAGTGAGAGGAGCTTCAACAGTGACTGGGACTTGTGACCCAGGTGTAGGTTTAATATATATAGAGAGACGAAACCTCTCATCATTCCATGTATTCACGGTGCGTGTGTCGGGTCCATCGTTGTAGTGAGAGGAGCTTCAACAGTGACTGGGACTTGTGACCCAGGTGTAGGTTTAATATATATAGAGAGACGAAACCTCTCATCATTCCATGTATTCACGGTGCGTGTGTCGGGTCCATCGTTGTAGTGAGAGGAGCTTCAACAGTGACTGGGACTTGTGACCCAGGTGTAGGTTTAATATATATAGAGAGACGAAACCTCTCATCATTCAATGTATTCACGGTGCGTGTGTCGGGTCCATCGTTGTAGTGAGAGGAGCTTCAACAGTGACTGGGACTTGTGACCCAGGTGTAGGTTTAATATATATAGAGAGACGAAACCTCTCATCATTCAATGTATTCACGGTGCGTGTGGCGGGTCCATCGTTGTAGTGAGAGGAGCTTCAACAGTGACTGGGACTTGTGACCCAGGTGTAGGTTTAATATATATAGAGAGACGAAACCTCTCATCATTCCATGTATTCACGGTGCGTGTGTCGGGTCCATCGTTGTAGTGAGAGGAGCTTCAACAGTGACTGGGACTTGTGACCCAGGTGTAGGTTTAATATATATAGAGAGACGAAACCTCTCATCATTCAATGTATTCACGGTGCGTGTGTCGGGTCCATCGTTGTAGTGAGAGGAGCTTCAACAGTGACTGGGACTTGTGACCCAGGTGTAGGTTTAATATATATAGAGAGACGAAACCTCTCATCATTCCATGTATTCACGGTGCGTGTGTCGGGTCCATCGTTGTAGTGAGAGGAGCTTCAACAGTGACTGGGACTTGTGACCCAGGTGTAGGTTTAATATATATAGAGAGACGAAACCTCTCATCATTCAATGTATTCACGGTGCGTGTGTCGGGTCCATCGTTGTAGTGAGAGGAGCTTCAACAGTGACTGGGACTTGTGACCCAGGTGTAGGTTTAATATATATAGAGAGACGAAACCTCTCATCATTCCATGTATTCACGGTGCGTGTGTCGGGTCCATCGTTGTAGTGAGAGGAGCTTCAACAGTGACTGGGACTTGCGATGTTTAAGGGTTCCTATCTAACGTTAAACGCTCTCCTCCACCGTCCAAGCTTTTCTCTCTACCTAAATAAATGTGAAAAGAACACATCTATCTATATATAAAAAGAAAACGGCTGAACCAATTTCAATAAAAAATTAAATAAGAGTTAAAAAAATTATTGCTTTGTTTTCCAAAAATGTACTCGATTTAAACATTGTAGTACACATGAAAAATAGAGCATGCACTGACATTATTTTAAGTCGGCCAATAAAACTATAAAAATATGACAGTCAGTGGCGACTGTTTTGACTGTAGGTAGTCGTTAAATAAACTCTGTCATAATAAATATAGTTGAAGAGAAATATTGTAATTATTTAGTAAAAATCTGTATGTATGTTCACATCATTACACAGCTCCTCTCCTCTCGTCACAGTCACACCGCGCGAGTTACATCCGATATAGTCCAGTACTTTATATGACGGACGGTACTCACACGTCTTCATACAACACACACACACACGATACGTGATTATATATGTGTGTACATACAACTAGTGAAATATAATTCGCAGACAAAGTCGAGTGTATCAACTAGTTTAATATGTAATATATTTTTTGTTGTAAGCTTTTATTCCGTAACCGAGCCCCGCGCCCGTCATAATATATCGCGTTACAGAACAAGCTAACAATAACGCTTTGTTTGAGATTCAGTTTTTATGATTTGTTACAGGGACCGTTAATATTTTTAACGTTAACTGCGGTTCGGTCTCGATATTTCGGCTTTTTATTTCACGAGTAAATATTTCAGTATATATTTTTAAATGAGTAATTAAAATTATACTAGCTTTCTAGCAGCTTCGCCCGCGTGGAGTTCGGTTATATCGCGTTTCCAAGAGAACCTTTCAAAAGTCTGAGATAAAAACTATCCTATGTTCTTTGTCAAGGTCAACTCTATGTCTGTACCAAATTTCATTAAAATCAGTTCAGTGGTTTAGGCTTGAAAGCGTAACAAACAGACAGAGTTACTTTCGCATTTATAATATTAGTAGGGATGTATATACTATATAGTATAAATATGCTTATTTCTGATATTTATCCACTCTAACATAAAGGTAATGATATTATTAAACGCGTCTAGTAAACCACTTGAAGCTGAAAGCGTTTTAACAACGGAGCTATTCAGAAAAAAAAAAACGAACATCAATTAAATTGACAAACAAGTAAAATGCAACGCAAACAGAACCTTAGAGCCCTTAAATCCGTGGGGTGCGAGGGTAGAGATAGGTCACGTACGAACGGCGGCACCTGATTGGCTGATGATAACCGAAGCCACCCTCCAGCGGACCAATCAGCGGCCGGCTGGGAGCGCGTTCGATTTATGAAATATATGTATCAGATGGAACGAAAAGAACATTGTTCGTAACGGATTTTATTATTCTAAAATTATAATTTAATATGCTTATATTGAAAATTATTACTTTATATTGGGACTGTAACGTAAAGTCTTATATTAAATTACCATTTTTACAACGAGACAGAATTCTAGAAATTAAAACTATCCTTAGTTGAGCCGTTTAAACAAATCATATTTCAATAATAATAGCTCTTAAGGTTCATTTTGACTGATAAGATTGAGCTTACTAAATAAACTAAGTTAGATAATTACTTATACCATGACATAATATAATTATTGTGATGTATGAAAAATGAATGAAAATAATGTCAAAAACAGTATTATAACTATAAGTCATCATCTACAATTTACACACGTAAATTTTAAAGTAAATTCGTATTTCTCCAATGATGTAGTATTTAAACGCGCGGTAAGCACGCCGGGCGTTAAAACGCGCGCCCTGTTTGTGTTTCAAATCCGCGAGCCCTCGAGCCGGCGCGTGCTTTTTACAAATAATTATTATTATTGTTGGCTGACGTGGCGACGCGGCCCGGGGATTACTGCTACTAGCAACTGTATGACGGATGCCTGCGTTTTTATAGGATTTGAGCTGTTCCATATTTGAATGTTTTTGTTTTCTTTTTTTTGTTAATTCAGTCGGTGGTGATTTGAATTTGTTCTATATTTGAATTTGTTTTTTTTTTTGGATAATTTCTTTAGAGATTTGAATTGGTTCTATATTTGAATTTTTTTTTCTTTAATTCGTTATAGATTTGTATTTGTTCCAAATTTGAATTACGTTTATTTTCTTGAATTATGTTGTCGAAGGGTTTATAAATGCTGTTGAAACTATTAGTTAGATTCGGTAGTAGTGAAGGTTTTAATGGACAGGGCTATCAGCTATGGCACCTGCCTTTGTTTGTATTGAGTCTGGTTTGTTCTGGATGTGGACTGGTTTTTTTTGTTTATTTTTTGTTTTATGTTAGCAAAGAGTCTATGAGCCATACAAAGTGAAATGCTATCATTTCTGTTGGATTTGATTTTTTCTCCATTACTCAAATACTTTGATAATTTTTGTCTAGATTTTTATTGTATTATTGGAATGTGTTATATTTAATCAATCATATATGTATGTATGATTATTTATAATTAAATCGCGGGTGTGCAAACAATAACATTATCAACCCAACAGCCTTCTGTCTCATGCTATGTGTATTCTGGTATATGTTGACGAGGTCTCATCCTACCTCGTACTGACAGCTGCTCCTCGATGTCTGTTCTTATATAGGCGGGGCGAGGCCACGCCCACAGCACACAGGCGAACGGTCCGCGGGTTCCATTTTTGATTTTCATGGAATGTACTTTTTTAAATTTTTGAAGTGGCACACGTGTGCCGTGGAACATAAGTATTCTGCCGCGACGTACCTACTGAAAATTTCAACGTTGTGTTTATTAAAGTATGAAAATAATGGGTTTATGGTTAAAAACTTCTATCATACTAGTTTCTGATCTAATATAAGTATATTAGGATATATTTTAATACGTGATAAATTTAGAAGAATAAAAGTGAATAATTATGAATCGCATCAAAAGGCATGTCCGTCATTTTAATTATCATGAATTACAGTGCCATTAATTTTTTTTTGTTTTCTATACAAAAAAATGAAATTTATTGAAATGAAAAGCCTATTTAAATTATGTACCTAATTGTTTTTGCAAAACTAAATTTTTTTCTCAATAATAATTAAACCTTTGGTCTTAACCTAAAGTCTAAACCTTAATTATACAAGATATTCATAAAATACTGATGTTTTAGGTAAAAAAATACCTTTTTTACTTTCCAATGCTACCTATACATAAATTCTAATAGTGATTCATCAATTACTAGTAAATTCCGAACCGTAGTATTATTGTTTGTAATGTATTATGTATGTAAAACAAAATGGCCGTGCAGCACAATGCCGCAGCGTGGTGCTGTTCCCACGCTGCTGCTAATTGCCGCTCCCCTAGCGGGTGGTGGTGAAGGTATATTTACAAAACATTATAGTTTACACATTGTCTATGGATTCTGTTCTATCGTATTATTATTGTCTATGAATTTATAAGAATAGGTGTAAAACACTGTGGGGATATGTTGAAATTTAGTGATAGATAACAGAAATAGCCTAATCAGATACTATATGTTTACATATATAATAATTTAATATATATTTACTAGCTTTCCGCCCGCAGCTTCGCCCGCGTGGAGTTCGGTTATATCGCGTTTCCAAGAGAACCTTTCAAAAGTCTGGGATAAAAACTATCCTATGTTCTTTCTGAAGGTCAACTCTATCTCTGTACCCAATTTCATGAAATCAGTTCAGTGGTTCAGGTGTGAAAGCGTAACAGACAGGGAGACAGTTACTTTCGCATTTATAATATTAATGAGGATTTGCATATAACTTGAACATCTCAATAAATTATGTATATATAAGTATATGAAAGGCAGACCCTGGCTAATACTGGGAAATTGCCAGGTTGAAGAAGGGAAGTAGGTATATGAAAATTGATTCTTCTTACGAATACAAGTATTAAAACATATTTATATTAAAAATCATTAATTTCCATTCTTCATCCTTACTATCAGTTCTCGTTCTAACTGTACACGCAGAGTATCCAGTCTATTTATATAGGGGAGAGTTGGTTATATCGTACTAGCATTTAAATCGTACCACTTCTAAATTTCCCATTTAATGAATATTTTTTTCTACACTGACAACGCCAAATCGTGGCCCTGCACCATCCCTCTTCACCCACTAGTTTAAATCGACGTGAGTTAACAACTGTGCAAGTAATAAAAAAAACCATTTTTTGTAGGAATTAATATAAATATTGTCGTACATTCGTAAGGAGATAACTCGTAATCAAGGTAAGCTATAGTTATTCAGTTTTTTTTATTATTCCACAATTGTATACTTGATTATTGGGGGTTTTTGTTGCGTGTCTAAGTTTTGAGTTTATGCCGGATAGTTGCTTTTTTTTTAGAAATGCCTTAGTTGGTTTAATCGTACCACTTGCAGTTGGTTAAATTGTACTGGTACGATTTACCCGACTACCAACCGCAAGTACCTATAGTACTACCGCAAGTACGTATAGTAAGTACTACCCAAGGTCAAAAACAAAAGTTATAAGAGGAAACGATCTCATTCCATCACCAGTAGCGATGATTCAGGAGAGACACTTGTTGTAGAACTAGATGATGATGATGACAGCGATGATTATCTTGAAAATATATGTCGAAAGTGCAATTGTTCTTACTACGATAAGAAGGGTCCAAAGGTTGATTGGATTCAATGCGTTCGCTGTAAACGGTGGCTACATGAGAAGTGTACCTACTTCGAATCCAGACATTTGTCATGATTGTTTCCATTAAGAAATATGCACAATAATTATATTACAAACAACATTCTTGTTAACTGTTACTTTATTATTATACATAGCTTACTGTTTTTTTTGTCTCATTTTTATTAAGTATGTTGATTGATCTCATTATCATAGTATAATCATGTTATTTTACTGAGAAAGCTTATAGTTCCTTTATATAACCTAAGAGTTCAAAATTATGTTTCTATTACCTAAAAGATATAAATAATGTTGTTTTATTACTTACCTAACAGTTAAATATAAATAATTTGATTGAGAATTTTAATGTCTTTTATTCAGTGGTACGACTTAAACACCCATGGTACGATTTAAAGACTTAGTGGTACGATTAAAACGACTAGTCGGCTAAATCGTACCGATGGCAAGCCTCTACAAAAAAGCATTTTTAACAATGTTAGAGTAACCGCAAGGATCTGTTCTCTCCTTCTTAGGAAGCTAAAATATGAAACTTTATTTTACATATGTATTAATTATTATAAGACGTGTTATAGTCGAAATATTTGAGTTAAAGTGAAAAGTGGTACGATATATCCGACTCTCCCCTATATAATTACTTGATAATATTCTACTACTGTATATAAATTAGATACTACCATCCGTTAGTGTTTAGTTATACTGTTAAAACTCATACTAAACATATTACTAAGATTTAAATGAAACTAATATTTTTGTATACTAGGCGTATTTTATTATTATAAACTATATACTCCCGACGTTTCGGTTACTTTACAGCCGTGATCATAAAGACGAGATTTGAATGTGTATAATAAAATACGCAGACCCTGGCTAAAGCTGGGAAATTGCCAGGAAGAAGAAGAATAAAATACATACTTACCTATTAGTTTGATTTAAATGTATACTCGCGAAAGTCTTAAATATCATATAACTAATATGTTAGAAGAATTAAAATACAAATAAAATTTAATTTAGTTATAAATAAAAACTAAAATATTTAAGTGAAATTAGTGAAAAGCTATACTGTCGCCTCAAACCATTCATCCACGTAGATGATCTCGTCAACGTCTGTACAGAGACTCGTTCTGTGTTGTATAGACCAGTTATATGGAGCGGGTTTATAAACACATTATATACCTAGGACCACCAATATCACGTTCAGTTGTTGTACACTCAACACATGTACGGAAAATAGATCGCTATTAACACTGTGGACCCGCTTTCCGGGATGTAAAGTAGCCTATGTGTCATTCCTGGACGTCAGCTTGCTGTATACAAAATTTTATCGAAATCGCTTCAGCCGTTTGAGCGTGAAGAAGTGACAAACATACTTACAAACTTTCGCAATTATAATATTAGTAGGATGTACCGAGAGCTTTTTTTTCTAATACACCTCCCACTAAAACCAAAAAAAACAAAAAAAACTTATAACAATAAAATTATATTTATCAATAGAATAATATAAGTGTAATTCCCCATACATAGACAAAACTAATTCCCGATCATTAGCACGGAGCACGTAGCGACCTCTTTGTAACGAGACTTGAATTGATTTATCGATGTTTTTTTATAATATACCTACTATTGTATAGAATTGTAGAAAAAAATCTCAGTTTTATATTGTAATGTACCTAAATCCTAATTAATGTATGCACTTGGCTTAATATGTGTTTGTTACTACGTACTACGAGTTTGCCGTTTTTTACTCAATAATAATATGATATACTATTGAATCTCCGTATCGTCTTCCTAGCAATTTCCCAGTTTGAGCCAGAGTCTGCCTTACATGTTGTGAATAGTTTTGGCTAATTGTTTTGCCTGCCTGACATCAAACCTCTTTGGGAATGCATTGATCAGTGATGTCTAAATACTCTTAGAAGTACATATGACTCGGAAAACTGGTGCTTGCCAGGATCGAACCCGCGCCCTCGTGCATGAGAGGCGGGCCTTTTAACCACTAGGACACCACTGACGCTTCGTATGTAGTTAATCAAACGTGTGGTAAGGATTTTTAACTACACAGTAGGTACATACGTTTTCTAGAGTTTTATTTTTTTATACTTTCAAATGTATCAAAGTCAGTCATTTTGACGAGAATTTACCTAAGTTATGAAAAAAATAAATAAAATATATATTTAGGGTAATAGAATATTAAGTGTTTTCAATAAAAATGTTATAGTTTTCTAAGCATTGAATGTATTTTATTATGTTAACTCATTAAAACATTGCAAATTATTATTTAACGGTCGCGCGTGGATAGTTGTGTACCTACCCGGTACACAACTATCGTAAACATTTAAAGTCTTAGTGTTGTACAGGAAATAGTATTATGGGTATATGTATAATATAAATAATATTTAAGTATAGTATGCTGTATGCCCATATATATTATACGAGATTTATTTTCTGTTTTCGGAAGTAATCTATCTTTCTATCTACCTATATATATATTGCTGTTCCTTAGTCTCGCTAAAACTCGAGAACAACTGAACGGATTTATCTTATCTTAGTCTTGAAATATTCCTGTAGCTTCAGGGAAGGTTTAAAACTGAAAAAAATTGATTAATTTCCGTGAAAACCCTAAAACTTTCTCACTTTGATTAATTACGTTACGATGCCGTCAGATATACATACATACATTTCTAATTCTGAAACCAACGCAGACGACGTCGCGGGTAAAAACTAGTATATGTGTAATATTTATAGTATTCCCATATATATTGTATACGAGATTTTTTTTCTATTTTTGGAAGTAATGTTATATAATGTATTAATCACTTTGTAATTAATAGGTACATTAGCACCACACGTAGAAGTATTTTAATTCATATAAGAAATTCCTTTATTTATTTTCACTGTCATGGTTCATACCAGGTTACAGAGCTCATTCAAACTGGTTAAGAAAATTTTCCTTTTTTAGCTTTTGTATCCGGAAGGAGTAGATAATATAATTATGTTTTTTGAAATTTCAGAAAATTCTATAAAAAATTAAACGACGTTTTTAATATTACCTAATAAATAAACCTTACTCTTCTTTTAAAACATACAAACGATCCATCGCAGTTAATCAAAAAATTCGCAAACAAAACCTGGTAATCGAAACTAGCTAAAATTAAATTTAAAAATCTATATCTATAACAAATGTAATATTTACACAACACAACATCCATTGCCAATTCCATTGTGAAAAAAAATAAAAATAACAAAGAAATATAACGATAAACGTGTAGAAATAACAGTGTAATAATTTTTATCATCGCATAGACAATACAGACGTACGTGACGCCGAATAAATTGTCTATGGTCCAAGATAAAGTGTCAATGGCACTGTAGATCTGCCGGAGGGAGGTTATGGCGTCGTAAAATGACAACCATTTGACTTGAAACTTATTGATAAACTCGATTTAATTATACCTTTTGTATGTATATACTAAGATCTTGGTCGAATATAAAAAAAAAATCACGGCTGTATAGGTTTGGATCGTTGCCTGGGATTTAAAAAAAAATGTCTAGTTAATTATGTTGCTCGGAAAAATTATAGAAAAATTATTGTTGTGTATTGCATGATGATATGTAAATCTTTGTAGGGAATAAAGTATGTTGTTTAAAAAATGTGGATTAAATTCAATGTAGGTAATGTGTTTAAA